AGCTTTTATAAGATACATTCATTGGAAAACAAGAAGCATGGAAAAATAAACAAGCATTCGATCCAATATATCAAGTAAAATCCACAATATACAAGGAAGGGTTGCTCACGCCTGTAATCCCAGCACTTTGGGGGGTCAAGGCAGGTGGATCACCTGAGGTCAGGAGTTTGAGACCAGCCTGGCCAACATGGTGAAACCCCGACTCTACTAAAAATACAAAAAATTAGCTGGGCGTAGTGGCGGGTGCCTGCAATCCCAGCTACTCAGGAGGCTGAGGCAGGAGAATTGCTTGAACCCAGGAGGTGGAGGTTGCAGTGAGCTGAGCCCACCACTGCACTCCAGCCTTCGTGACAGAGTGAGACTGTCTCATAAATAAATAAATAGATAAAAAAGCAGAAAAAGTAAAAAGTAAAAACAAACACAGTAGAAATCAAAAGAAAAATCCAGCTCAAATTTTGGAAATGCGAAACACTCCAGTAAGTTTATTTCATATATGAATATACTTTCTTGGTGAGGACATGTTGAATAGAAGACATTTTATAGGCCACAGAGTTGTTAAAGCCTTGGGTACTTCAGGAAAAAAACACACCAAAAATATTAAAACATGTGAGTGTGTTATAGACTTTATTTTTTAGAGCAGTTTTAGGTTCATAATAAACCTGTAGATATTTGCTATATACCCATCTAACTCTTGCTCCCCTATCCTTGACAGCCTTTCTCATTGTCAGCATCATGAACCACGGTGGTACTTTTGTTAATACTGATGAACCTGCATTGACACATCATAACTCAAAGTCCAGAGTTTATATTAGGGTTCATTCTTAGTGGTATACATTCTATGGGTTTGGACAAATATATAATTACATATATCTACCATTGTAGTATTGTACAGGGGATGTTCATTGCCCTAAATATCCTCTGTGCTCCACCTGTTCATCTCTCCCTCCTCCCAGTAGTCTGGAAACCACTGATCTATTCACTGTCTCCATAGTTTTGCCTTTTTCAGACTGCTATACAGTTAAGATGTGTTTTTACTGTTATATTTCAGGTACATGAATAAGAAAACATTATTATGTAAGATTAATAAGGATCAGAATGCTTCATGAGATGCACATTTTCTGTATATGTCTCATAATCTCCGAAGTATTAAAAAGAAATAGTTTCTGGACATAGAGAGAAAAGCAGCTCATCTCTTTTCATACCAGATCAACTCACAGTTTCACAGGAATATAACATATGTTCTTAAATAATTTCATAGTAGGGATAATCCTATTAAAAACTAAAATACCAGCAATATGTGTTCCAGAATTCAAGCTTTACAACATTATAATTTAATGGGCATGCCCTGCTTAGTGAGCCCTTAATCTAACTTGAAAAGATCACAGCATAGCTCTGTCAGGGTGGGCTTCATGCTATACTCACATCATTTATGCAGATAAAAAGTAACCAGAAATTCATTAATCTTTTTTACTGGCTTGTGGAAAAGGGACTTAGATCTTGGCTGGGGTGGGTGGGGGCAGGGAGTGAGAAGCAAGATTATGTCATATGTGGAGATTTCCACATATGAAACTGTACACTATAAAGAGCATTCCCTTAATAATGCATGTAAAAATATAGGTAGGGTGGTAGGGTCAATATGAAATAAAACTGGTAAGGCATTTTTCAATTCAATTCAATTCAATTCAGTTAACACCAAAATAGGCATTTTTTAGAATGAACTCTGTTGTAATCTTAAATTAAATTCCAGACAACCATATTATTTCACCTTGAAATATGTCAGTATGTATCTCTTATAAAGACATTAAAAAAAAAATCATGACATCACACCCCCCAAAATTAGCAATAATTTCTTATTTGTAAGCTTGAAAACAGATTGATCAGAGATAGGGCTTAGTAAATAAGGTAACAGAATAAAAGAAAACCTTACAAAGGTCTTGACAAAATTGCTGAAGTCTGGTGTCAGTATATATTAAATATACTAGTGAACATCTTGCTATAGGTTGTTATAGGTCAGAGATGTTTCAACTCCATTTAATTGGTAGTGGCTGATTAGAGAGTTAAGATTTAGATAACAGTTATAAAGGCCAGCATATGGTCAAATGTAATGCAATTCAGTTAGTATTACTCTCATACTTTTATATGAGACTTTTATAAGCTTGACTATTTTTATAAATTCTAATTTAGATTTATATAAATATTAAGATTACCGATTTTATTACACAATTGAAATCAACACTAAAAAGCTTTAAGTCATAGAAACTGTAGGCTTTCCTTGTTCATTAAAAACAAGCTGTTTGAATTTCAGAATGATTGTTTCATATTTGCACATAAAAGCAATTGCTAGACTAAGCTTCATTATAACTAGAATGATATAGAAGGAATTTAAGCAGAAAATTTCTAAGTTTCCTTCTGGCAGTAAAGATTCACAATTCTAAAAAATACTGCTCTTTTATGTAGATCATTTTACAAGAGATTTACCAGGGATCTTATAGGTCATCTTGCCCAATCTCATTTTCAATGCAGGGAAACCCTACTCAACATGACATTAATACTTTATAATTAACACTAAGTTTTGATACCAAAATCAACTCATGCTAGCCTTGTCTGTTCTAATTTAAAGGTTCTTGATTTGTTTAGCAGTCTAATTCTGCTCTAGTATTTTTTAATATGCCCAGATTCTGATTTCTTAAGTATTAACTATGACTGTTTTCTCCAGGTCAGTGTTTCTGACCCTGATCTGCTAATAGTGCCCTAATCCTAGGTTGCTTCTTGTAGCTCATGGCTTGTTTTTCTTCCCCCCAGCTTAAAAAGAAAGGTCTGAGCCTCTTCCCTGAACATTCAGGCTTTCAATGTACCATATAAAAAAATGAGGTAAACTTAAGCCATTTAAACTGTGGTTACCAGGGTGCTGTGGGATAGTTTAAATTATCAAAGAAAATACAGCTTTGTTGAATATCTGTTGGATACCACACAGACTACTAGATGAGACAGTTCACAGTTTCAACAGCAGATCACACTACATTAATTTTGTTGATATCATATTTTTTGCAAAGTTGGATTTTTGGTAGTAGATGTAATAATAAGCATAAGAATCACTGTGGAACAGGACATGAAGAGCAGTGTCCAATCTGATCCTATTGTTTGAGAAGTTATGAAGTCCACAACAGAAGTATATATTACACTTGTAAATAACTGGTTAAGAATGACATAAAACATTATTTTCCTTAAATTAATGTGTATTTTTCCCTAAGGGCTACTAAGTTTTTTAGATATAAATGCTTATTAAGTTGTTTGGACATAATTATCTAATAAATGACAAAGTTATATATTTCCTTTGGGTCTAGTACTGCTATGAAAAAATTACCAACGTGCTAAAAGTGAAAGTTCGGAAAGCTCTGACATATACATTCTTTTATGTATTTGGAATACTGTATTTAATCATTCAACAAAAGTGTTAAATACCTAGTGTGTTTCAGGAACTGTTTTAGGTTCTGGGAATCCAGTAGTGAATGAGATAGACAAAGCATCTGTTCTCATGGTGTATATGTTCTCAAGGAGAGAAAATAGACAATTTTTAAAATGTGTAATTGCTATGAAATATTACACAGAATAACCTGATAATGACAGGAATGTGGAAGGACAAAGTTTAGTTAGGATGCTGGAGGCGCATTTCTCTGAAAAGGTAACTTTTCCACTGAGACACATCAATGACATTCAAAGCCATTAAAAAAAAAACACACACAAATGTGTTTTACTCATCAACAACCAAATAGTTCTACATCTTATCATTCCTTCTTCTCTCCTTTTTCTTAATAGACTTCTCAATTATATCAGAGGAATGGTTGTCTTCTATTTCTGTTCTGGATTGTTTTTTTTGGCCATGAGAAAAATCAGTACACTTTACCTAAATGAGAAAGTGGTTCTTAAGGCATAACAACTCATTGTTTGCTACCTATATATTAGCTATATAGTACAGTGATAAGTACAGTACATGCTTTAGTACAGTGATAAGACAATAAAACAATAAGGATGAGTGGATGTTGGTTATCACTTCCTTTTCAGCTAACAAGTGCTCTGAAAACATAAAATTTTTAAAAAAGGTGCTGAGGGCAATTTGTGTTGCTTATATCCTTAATATCTTTCCACAAATCACAAATTGGGTGTGTTCCCTTTTCTACTTTACCTCCATCACTCTGTAAAGTTTATTCCCAAACATTTGATGGCGATAAGCACTCATAGATCCAAGCACAGTGCTACTGCTGCCGTTCACTTTTTCTTTTTTGCGGGAAGACAAGGTCTTCCTCTGTTGTCCAGACTGGAGTGCAACAGTGCGGTCATAGCTTACTGGAGCCTCAAACTCCCGGTCTAAAGTGATCCTCCTGCCTCAGCCTCCTGAGTAGCTGGGGCTACAGGCATGACCACTACACCTGGCTAATTGTTTTAAAACTTTTTTACAGACAAAAATCTTACTATGTTGCCTAAGGTGGTCTCAAACTCCTGGCCTCAAGCGATCCCCCCTGGGAATACAGGCATAAACCACCGTGCCCAATCTTGCCTTTCACATTTTTAAATCATACTAATGCTCTTCCTTGGTTTCAACCTATTTTATTTGAACCATAATGTAAATTATGTAAGGATTTGTAAAGTATACTAATGTTCATATCTATCATTTTCTTAAAAATATGAGTTTATTGTAGAAGCACCCAACTAACAAATCCAGATCAAGGTGTGTAGTTTGAAGTTTTAACTGGGAGATCTCTAAGTTAGTCACTGTCAACATTCCTAGTTCTCCTTTGCAACCTTCCTTCTATGAGACTTGGTACGGATTTCCACTGAGTAGAAAAGCAAAACTAGTAAAGATATCAAACTATTCTTTTTTCTCTGCATCTTTCCCCTATTGCAATATTAAGAGTAATCTGGTGAGCTGTAGTGAATTAAAAGTAATTTATCCTCTCAAAAAGTAAGGGTTATTATGTCATTAACTTTTTTTTTTTTTTTTTTTTTTTTAATGACTAGAGAAAATTCAAAAGAACCATGGACTGACTGTGAATTGAAAGATCAGGAACCTGGCCCTGCTTTGCCACTAACAAAATGTATGTATGACTGGGCATTTCACTTATCTGGGTCTCTGTGGTAGGCAGCATCCAAGGTATTTCCCAGTAGTCCTCCCTCCTGTATTCACACCTTTGTGTAATCCTCTCCCCTTCATTATAGGCTGAACCTAGTGACTCACTTCAAATGAGCAGAATATAGTAAAGGGGATGGGATGTCACTTCCAAGTCTGTTTAAGTTATAAACAGACTGTGAATTCCCTCTCTGGCTTGCTTTCTCCATGGCATACTCTGAGGAAAGCCAACTGCGATGCTCTCAGCTGCCCTACAGAGAGGCCTGTAGCAACTAATGCTCCCAGTGAACAGCCAGTGAGGATCTGAGACCCTCATTCCAACAGTACTTGAACAGGATCCTGCTAACAGACATGTAAATAGACTTGGAAGTGGGTCCTCTCCAAGTTGAGCCTTGTGATGAGGCCACAGCCCAGCCTACACACTGATTGTGTAGCCTTGTAAGAGGCTCTGAGCCAGAGGGCCCATCTAAGCCATCCCAGGATTGCTGGACCACAGAAACTGTGAGATAATAAATGCTAGCTGTATAAACCACTAAGTTTTAGAGTAATTTATTATGCAGCAATAGATAATTAGTACAGCCTGTGTTTCCTTTTCTGTTATACAAAGAGTTTGGTTTAAATGAGCTTTTGAGTCCCTTTCTAACTCCAAGATTCAATGAGTACACTTACATTGGTTGCAAAGGCAAAAAAGAGAAAACACACATAGACACACAAACTACAATTTCATGTCTTAATAATAAAATTCACAGTTCAAAATTCTATGGTAGTTTTAAATAAGGTTCAAGATTTGTTCACTTCCCCTTGAATATAAGTCATCTCTATTAGCAGCACTGCAATTAAAAAGAAAACCTAGGAAAACAGTCTTCTTATAAATGTCTTGTTAATGGGGAGATACAAAATACACATTCGTCCACTATAAGAACTTGACATATTTGGGTTAAGGAATATAACATGTTTGGCAGTCTTTGCATTAAAAAAAAGTAGGGATAATATAAGAAATTTAGTTATTATAAATGTCAATAATATACACAAATCTTAATATTTGCTTTATTCTAAAGCTCTTTCTGAAAACAGTGTTTTCAGGTAGACTGTGATAAAGATGTATATCTTAAATCCTAAGGAAACTACTACTCTTTTTAAAGTGCGATATACTCAATAAGTCAATAGTGGAGATAAGACAGAATCATAAAAAATACTCAAACTACCTCAAAGCAGGCAGAGAAAGAGGAAAAAAGAACAAAGAAAAAATGGGTTAAGTAGGAAACAAAGTGGCACAGATCTAATGTTCTTTCCAGTAAATTTTAAATTATTAGAGAAAACAGCACAACATAGTGGAATAACCAGTACAACAAGAGTGAGAAAACGGGCTTTAGCTCTAACTTTGCCATTTTTTAATTTTATGATTTCGGGAAAACTGGTTTAACTATCTGTAAAATGGACAAATAGAAATCATCTTTGGTAACTCCAATTATAAAACTCTATGAATCTAATGGAAAATGTAGGAAATATAACTTCTAAATATTTAAAAATGTAAAATAAATGACGGTACACTATAATTCAATGGGCCATCCTTGTAAAGTATTTATGAAACCACAGGAAAAATACTTATGACACAATTCAGGAGGAAAAAAGGAAACAAAACATCATATATACTATCATCACTAATACAAAGAAATCATGAAACCAAATAACAACAATAACACAACTCTGTACTAAAAGCAAAAACAAAAACCTGTAAAGAAATTTGCAAGTCTTACAATGATTGTAAGACCAGGGGTGATTATTTTTCTTTATCAATTTTGTAGTCAGTAAATGTATGTGAAGGTTATGATGTCTTAATGGAATAAAAGTTTTAAATGTTCAGTTTTAAAATAGTAATAATGATACCAAAAAAAATCGTGCTTTACATATTTTCTATATTCTTGAAAATTTATTTGCAAACAAAAGTATAAATCTAATTCCCAAGGAGGGGAAAAAGCTTTCAAACATTTCTATTTTATTGAATGCTTCTCATTAGCTCATGTCTTTTTTTCCATCAGTAGCCTTTAAGAGAGAATCCAAGGAGAATTTTCCTGACTCTGAATTTATTCTCAGACTCTGAGAATATCTGAAGAACAGTTTCCCAATTTTCAAAAGGGACAATGCTGCTTCTTCCTGACTGACACCACCATTTCGTAACTCCACTCTCTAAGCTCCTAAGTAGCATTACTCAGAAAGTGATGATCCCTAGGCCTACTGAGTCAGAATCACCTGTGGTCACCGTTAATGCAAATTCTGAAGCCAATTCTTGGCTTATTCATACATAATTTCTAGATGTGGGGCCTTAAAATATGTATTTTAACAGGCATCCTTAGTAAGCTTTAGCATAACAGGGACAACAGTCTAAGTACCCAAAGCATGTCCCCTGGACCAACGCACTGGCATCATCTGGAGACTGCTTAGAAAAGCAAACTTTTAGGTTCTACCTTAGACCTACTGAACTAGAAACTCTGGGGTTAGGGCCCGGAAATCTTTAACAAACACCCTGTTGAATCTCATGCATGGAAAGTATGAGAACTATTGCTCTAAGGCAGTGGTCTCCAAACTTTTTTGAACACTTATCAGTAAAAAAAAAAAAATATTTTGAGTATGTTCCCCATTCTCAGCATATGTAAATTACATAAATATATTACTGTTGATCGATATATCACATATAGCACATACATGACCATTCATTGTACAAGTTTTTGTTTGGGTGTATGTTTTCAATTCTCTTGGGTGTAAACATGAGAGTAGACTTGCTGAGTTATATTATCATGTTTAACCTTTAAGGGACTGTCAAAATGTTCTCCAAAGTTGCTGCAACATTTTACATTCCTAGCAGCAATATATGAGGATGCTAATTTATCCACATTCTAGCCAACATTTGTTATTATCTGGTTATTTTATTTGTAGCAATACTATTAGGTGTGGAGTGGTATCTCATTATGGTTTTGATTTGCATTTCCCTAACAGCTAATGATGTTGAGCAGATATTTATGTGCTCAGTATTTATCCATATCTCTTATTTGAAGAAATGCCTACTCAATTTTAAAATGCCCATTTTAAAATTGGGTTGTTTGTCTTTTGTTATGGAAATAATATTGCTTTCTATTTTTCAGATACAAGTTTCTTATCAGGCATATAATTTGCCATAATAGTCTCATATTATATGGATTGTGGTTTTTTTTTTTTTTTTGGATGGTGTTCTTTGAAGTACAGAAGTTATTTGTTTTTGTTTTGAGACCGAGTCTTGCTCTGTTGCCCAGGGCAGAGTGCAGTGGCGCACAGTCTCCTGCTCACTGCAACCTTCGCCTCTGGCGTTCAAGCGATTTTCCTGCCTCAGCCTCCTGAGTAGCTGGGACTACAAGTGTGAGCCACCACGCCCGGCTAATTTTTTGTACTTTTAGTAGAGATAGGGTTTCTCCATGTTGACCAAGGTTGTCTTGAACTCCTGTCCTGTCCTCAAGTGATCTGCCTGCCTCAGCCTCTGAAAGTGCTAGGATTACAGGCATGAGCCACCATGCCCGGCCTTAAAAGTTTTAAAATGTTGATCATGTCCAATTTATATTTTTTATTTTATTGCTTATATTTTTAGTGTCGTTCTTAGAAGGCTTTGTATAATCCAGTATCACAAATAATTGTCTGTTTTCTTCCAAGAGTTTTATAGTTTTACATCTTACTTTACATCTTCCGTCCATTTAGAGTTAATTTATGAGTATGACGTAATATAAGGGTTATTGTAATCTTTATGATAGGGTTGTAAATGAGATTATTTTCTTCCTTTCATTTTCAGATTGTTCATTGCAGGTGCAAGTTCAACTAACTTGTATATTGCTTTTATATTCTGCAATATTGGTAAACTTGTTTAGTAATTGTAATAGTTTTTCAGTGGATGTCTTAGGATTTTCTGTATAGAAGATCATGTCATCTGCAAAGAGAGATAGTTTTCTCCCTTCTCTTTTTCCAAAGTAGAAGCCTTTTTTTTTTCTTTTTATTCCTAGTTGTCCTGGTAAGAGAAGACGTCCTCGTCATTCCTGATTTTAGGGAGAATACATTTAGCCTTTACAATTAAGTATGATGTTAATTGTCGTTTTTGGTAGATGTCTTTTAACTGGTTGAGGATGTTCCCTTCTTTTCCTAGTTTGTTAAGTGTTTTAAGCATGAAAATGTGTTGAATTTTATCAAATGCCTTTTTTATGTAGGCATTAGGGAAATTGAGTGTCAAAATATTTCACAACTCATTGAACAAAATAAAAATCCATGAATCGATATTGATACAAATAAAAGTGGTTGTTGTCCTGTATACTATTGATATGATGTATTATTTTAATTGACTTTTAGATGCTATATCAACCTTGCCTTTCTGGGGTAAATTGATTTGGTTATGGTGTATGATTTTTTTTTTAATCTCTTGCTGGATTTAGTTAACTAATACTTTGCTGAGAGTTTTCACATCTATATTCATAAGAGATGCTACTCTGTTTTCTTTTCCTGTGATGCCTTTATATTAGTTTGTTTTAAAAATGTTATAAATCAACAATTTTGAAAATGCTTTCTGTGTATTCTACAAATGAGCAAATTTCTCAGGATTCTTACTGTTCAACCTGAGAAGACTAAAACAAACCCTCTGCTTCTGGATTAGAATTAGAAGTATCTGAGTATCTGTTTGATCTGATTACACACGAACATATACACAAACTGACACACATATATCCTAGTTGTGTCCAAGAGAAGGCCTAAAAGCAGTAGCATACTAGTAGCTATTATTACAGTGTACATCCAGATCTTGGAATAAAGGCTACTTTCAGCACTAGGTCAGACAAATGACAAGATAATCTTGGAACATTTTGTGATGTCAGAAATTAACGAAGTGCTCCAGGAGTGATGAGAACATGTCAAAACGATGTAGAAGTTACTTTGAAGGGGCTCTTACTGACCAAATGCGGG